AATATTGGAGGATGATTGTCTCAATAGGCCCCCTCCTCCCAACAGATCTGGGGAGGAATCACCAGCCAGTTCAAACAAAGAGGACATTGGATCTGTTACTATCCCTCCTCCTTACAAGCCCTAAGACCCTTCTGCTCCAGCTGGACATACCAGGAGTGGAATTCCCTGTCTTCCTCCTTCTAAATCGGGACTATATCCCCTTAGGGAGATTGCTAATGGAGACAGTGGGTGCTATTCGAATCCATATCCCATTCTCCATGGCAGACTTGGCTCAGATAAAACAACTAGGATGATATTCTGAAAACCCTTCTCAATTTATTGAGGGTTTTCAGCAATTATCTGTTATGCTTGAACTCATTGTTGTATCCCTGAGGAGAAGAACCATATCTGGGTGGGGGCTCAAGATTTGTTGATGAACTAGCAGCCAGAGATAGAGATCGTTATCAGGTAGGAGGTGTTGCTATCTCAAATACCCAACTACATTGGAATTATCAGGAGGGTAGGCAAGGAAGGGAAAGATAAGACCATATGATCACTTGTTTAATAGCAGGAATGGAAAAAAAAAGTATTTTCTAAACTTGTAAGCTTTGTTAAAATTCAGGCAATTACTCAAGGAGCTGATGAAAATCTAGCTCTATTTCAAGGTCATTTGATAGAAGCCATCTGTAAATATACAAATCTGGACCCCACATCGCCTGAGAGAACAATTAGATTGTGCATGCATTTTATAAGTCAATTGGAGCCTGACATCCACTGAAAATTGACTAAAGTGACTTTAGGTCCTCAAACCTCCACCTAGCACCTAAAGGTCGCTACTGGAGTTTTTAATAATAGAAAGTTTTAAGACAGGAAAAGGACCAGAGAGCTAAATTGCAGGGTAAAATACAGGCTCAAATATTGGCTGCCGCTCTCGCGGATCCCCCACAACACCAGACTAACCAGGGGCCACAGAAAAAGCCGGCATCAGACCAAGGACCAGGTAAGACCCATGCTATGGGTGTGGCCAGATCGGACATTGGAGCAAGGAATGTCCAAACAAAAGCTCTCCATCAGGGCCATGTCCTTTCTGTAAGGAAGAAGGACATTGGAAGAGAGACTGTCCTCATCTCCAGAGAGAGAGAAAGACAGGAACTCACTTCCTCGCCTGAGAGCAGGAACCTGAGGATCTGGCATGACGGGGCCCTGAGGCTGGTCCGGCTCCCTTTGACATCAGGATGACTGAGCCCCAGGTTACCCTGGATGTGGAAGGTAAGTTTATCAATTTCCTTATTGATACAGGAGCCATTTACTCTGTTCTTATTCAGCACTCAGGCCCTACTTACCTTTCTTTCTGTCTTTTTCTTTTTCTTTTTTTATTTTAGAGAGAGAGAGTGGTGGGGGGAGGGGGAGAGGGAGAGAGAATCCCAAGTAGGCTCTACGTTCAGCGCGGAACCCAACGGAGGGCTTGATCTCATGATCCCAAGATCATGACCGGAGCTGAAACCAAGAGTTGGATGCCTAACCACCAGAGCCACCCAGGCGCCCCAGCCCTACTTGTCTTTCTAACCGTAACATTGTTGGCATAGAAGGGGAAACTAAAATGTGCCGTCAGACAATTCCTTTAACTTATAAATACAAAAGTCAGTTGGTGACTCATGTTTCTCTAGTCCCTCCATCTTGTCCCACTCCATTACTTGGATGAGACTTACTGCATAAACTAGGAAGCAGGTTTGCTCCTACTAAAGAGGAGAACGGCTTATTCTCTTTAACACTTGGAGAATTAAAACCTTACCGTTATCCCTTCTAATATTTGGAAGGAAGTAAAGCCACAGGTCTGGGATTGCAATGTCCCAGGACAAGCTCTTAAAGACCAACTAGTTAAAATGACCTTAAAGGATCCAACCACTATACCTCATAAAAAAAAATATATATATATATATCCCTTAAAACCTGAGGCAAAAGCTGGGTTATAACCACTTACTGTTAAATTTCTCAAACATGGTATTTTAAGGCCTTGTCAATCTCCTTATAATACTCCAAGTTTACCAGTTAAAAGGCAAATGGAGACTACTGAATGGCATAAGATTGAAGAGCAATAAATGAAGCAGTTGTACCTATTCATCCCATAGTGCCAAATCCATATACTATTCTCACCCAGGTCCCTGGTAATGCTAACTGGCTTACAGTACTTGACTTAAAAGACACTTTCTTTTGCATCCCTATAAGTGAAGAAACACCGCCATTACTTGCTTTTGACTAGGCCTCACCTTCAAGCCCAGAGGATGCTCAGTTAACTTGGACAGTCTTGCCACAAGGATTTAAAGACAGTCCTCACCTATTTAGGGCTGCACTTAGTAAAGACTTCAGTGATATATCCTTGCTTCGGGGGACAGTAATTCGATATGTAGGTATTTTTAATCTGTAGTCCCACAAAAGAAACGTCTGAGAGTAATTCTATAACTTTTTATTTCTTGGCAAACAGGATAGCATGTCTCCCTTAAGAAGCACAAATATCTAAACAAAAGGTATGATATCTGGGATATGAATTAACACCAGGTCACCATACCCTGTCTACTGACAGGAAAAAGGTATATTAGATCTTGGACCCTCAACTACAAAGAAACAACTCCATGCTTTCCTAGCTATGGCAGGATTTTGCCACCTGTGGATTCCTGGATTTGGGTTCTTCAGATCATTGTATGATTCAGTTAAAGGCCCTGATAAAGAACGTTTACTCTGGACTAAAGCCCAGCAGACAGGCTTTCAAACATTAAAAGCTAAGCTTTCGTCAGTCCCAGCTTTGGCTTTACCAAATTTAGAAAAATCTTTTACTTTGTTTATAGCAGAAAAACAGGGACAAGCTTTGGGGCTTCTTACCCAAAAATTAGGGAACGAAACAAGACGGGTGGGCTATTTTTTAAGGGCACTTGATAGTGTAGCATAAGGGTGGCAAGCTTGTCTTCGAGTGGTGGCTGGAACAGCCCTGCTAGTGGAAGCAGCTTCAGAACTTCCTACGGGACAGTCCTTAACAGTGCTGACTCCACATCAGGTTCACAGAGAACTAGAGACCAAAGGCCACCAATGGATGACAAGAGACTGGCTTACTAAATCCCAGCCTATGTTTTTAGATATGTCTGAAGTAATACTTAAAACCTGTCAAACTTTAAACCCAGCTACCCTTATGCCTGGATCTGACCATCATACTTCTATGCTAGGACATGACTGCTCAGAAATTATTGATCTTGATTATTCTAGCTGACCAGACTTAAAAGAGTCCCCTACTGAAAATGCAGATGATAGTAGGCTTGATGATGGCGGTAACTTCATGGATAAGGGAGAAAGAAAAGCCAGATATGTTGTAGTTAGCTTAATTAAGACCACTGAGGCAAAAGCCCTTCCAGTAAATACTTCTGCCCAAAAGGCTAAATTAATAGCACTTACCCATGCTCTTCAATTGGCAGAAGGCCTAAAAATTAGTATTTATACTGATGTCAATTATCTTTCCTGGTACTACATGCCCATGGAGCAGTTCAGAAAGAAAGGGGATTACTATCAGGTCGTAACTCCCCAGATAGGGCCCTGAAATAATTACCCTTCTTGAGGCCGTAAATCTACCTACAGAGGTGGCTGTAATTCATCTCAAAGGACATCAAAAGGCTATGACCTTGGAATCTAAAGGAAACAATTTGGCCAACCACACAGGCACACAGGCAGCACAAAATAAACAAATATTAAGTCTTACACCACTTTTAACTCCAATTAAGTCCATATCTCCAGTTTATTATTTATTTATTTAAGCATGCAAGGGGTGGGGATGCAGAGGAAGAGGGCAAGAGAGAATCTTAAACTTGGGGGCTTGATCTCACGACCCTGAGATCATGACCTGAAGTGAAATTAAGAGCACTTAACAGACTGAGCCACCCAGGTGCCCCCATATCTCCAGTCTATGTAGACCAAGAGATTTACATAGCCCAGGAACAAGTATATTTTAAAAAATGCACAAGGACTGCCTTGTTAATAATGACAGGAAAATCCTCATACCCAAAAATAACTGATGGAAGGTAATACAGATTTACACCAGGCTACTCATTTGGAAAAAAAAAAAAAAGCTTTAGAACATTTAATAAAAAATATATTTGATGGAATAAATTTAACAACTGTAAAACAGGTCTGTTGATCCTGTATCGTTTGTGTGCAAGTAAATCTGGAAAGCGCTGTCCATCCCATCCCCCCTCCCCTTTGAAACCATTCCAAAGACGTGGAACATATCCAGGAGAGGACTGGCAGCTTGATTTCATACAAAAGCCTCCTTGCAAAGGCTAGAAGTTCCTACTAGTGTTTGTTGATACTTTCACAGGATGGATCAAGGCCTTTCCATTGCAAAACTAAAAGAGCCATGGAAGTAACCAAAGTTTTGTTGTGAGACATTATTCCTAGATCTGGCCTTCCACGGTCCCTTCAAAGTGGCAACAGACCTTCTTTTACTGCCCAAATGACAAATAGCACGAGCTTTGAAAATTAAGTATTGTCTACATCCACAACCCTCTGGAAAGGTAGAGAAAGCTAATCCTACTTTAAAACAACACCCTACTAAGTCTAGAGACCCAGGAAGACTGGGTTACTCTCTTACCAATAAGACTTCTCAGAATAACTGCTCCAGAAGAACCTATAGGTTATGAGATATTATATGGAATACCATTTCTTACAGTGGACCTGTAATTAGATAAAGATCATAACACTTTAATTATTCATTCAAGGCTGGTTTAATTCATAAGTTACTTAATGAATATGCTGATCACATGCTCCCAAAACCTGATTTAATTATAACTGAAAGTCCAGCCCATGTCAGCACTGGAGACATGGCTTATTTATAGAATTAGAAGTCAAATACAGCAGGGGACTTCAATCCAAAATGGAAAGGTCCGTATCGGGTCATATTATGTCCTTCTATTGCAGTAAAATTAGGGAGACACTCTTCTTGGACTCCTAGATCTAAAATAAAACCTGTACTTCCTTCACAGGAAACCAGTGAACAAACTAACATGCCTTCCTACTCCTGCGAACCTTTAGAAGATCTGAAACTCCTCTTCAAACGACTATGAAGGTTGTATATTTCTTTGTTCTTTGTTCACCAGTTTTAACAGACAATGCCTTTCTACAATGGGCACAACATTATGCTGAACTTCAAAATCGAACAGCTTGTTGGATATGTGGGATTGTGCCATGTCAAGTACATCTGAGTTACCCTGGTATGTTTCTCCTTTACAAGGGACTGACTGGCACTCCTTAAACACTTATATTTTAGATACGATAGATAATCCTAACACTAGCATATATTGTGATAATTCTATCACTAGAAAAAAAAATGTTTCTTCTTGGCCCATGATCAGTATGACTTGGAACTTTCTAGGTCATAGCCAGACTTTTTCATACCCTCAAACTATAAAGGTTTTAACTGAATTCACAAGCCTGTCCATGAGTGCCTAGATTACAAAACCCTACTTCTCAATATACCCAGGATGGTATATTTATGGTTTACACCAACTGCTGGACAACTCAATCAAAAGGCAGTTTTATGCTGAGAACAAAGAAATCATACATATGATACCTGGACAAACAGCACACGACATTTGGGATGGCTATGCTAGAAGTATGATCTCAAACCATTATATTCCGGATTACTGATTGGTTTGCTTCTGGCTGGGCAAGGCAACCCAGAATTAGATGGCTAGCTCCAAATGGCCCCCAGTGGTTACATGGATCTAACCTATGGCCCTAGCTTCCTCCAGGATGGACAGGTTGTTGCACCTTGGGTTTTGCTTAGATTCCTGGGTTCATTATCAAAACCATCACTACTCTGGCTAATCGCCCAAATTTAAAATGATGATAGACACGATCATATTTCACTGGCATGATCATTTAACGTCCAACTTTGTTCCCTTGATGAAATTGGAAGATGTCATTTGGCATATGGAATTCCTTTAATAAATGCACTATAAAAGCACTAAATGACTCACAAAACAGTATTTCCTTACTTAATGCTGAAGTTACACAGATGCTCAAAGCAGTTCTACGAAATCAAATGGCCTTAGATATTTAACAGCTGCACAAGGTGATACCAACCCTCTTATTAAAGTGGACTGCTGTGTATATATTCCAGATAATCACAAAAATGTAACAGGATTGCTAAAAGATATGAATACTAAAATTGGCACTTTACATGATCCCTCCCTCTCCTTTAATGATTGGTTAAACTCCTGGACTGGAGGAGGATTTTGGTCAATTATCAAAGGTCTTTTTAGTGGGCTTTTCTCATAATAATATTAATCTTCTTTTGTTGTTTTTTTCTAGTGTCTCCCCGGCTGGTGCTGAGACTCTCTGACTGCCATTACTTCAAGCCGACAGATGATCCTTTCTACTTGAGGAGATTCGCGTATGTTGCCTACCTTGGATTCGGCTGCCTGTGCCTTTGGTAACGCCTATATATAAATTCCCCAACTGACCAATGTTGACTCGTAGGGACATCTCTACGCCCCTGTTCAGCAGGAAGAAGTTACAGAAGATAAAACCTTCCAACCTCAGCAACCTGAAATATTGAAGGGTCAAAATTGTTCAGGAGGGAAAACGAGGAGGAGAACAAAGGCAAGAGAAATGCAGCTAAGATTAAATTACCTTACAGTTCTCAGCCCACTGATAAATACCTGAGACCTGCAGAGCATGACATTCCTCAAGGAACCTCATGACTGCTTTAATGTTAATGTTTTGCTAGAGACTAAAAGCAACCTCGTCTTGACAATAATAGCCAGATCTCCAGGATCCTAGAAGTCTTCTTTAACATGTGGAAATCCCTTTAGAGACTTATGTTATCTCTATATACTTTTAATTTTTTCCGGGGGGGGGGCATGTAATCAGTTGCTCCTCACAATCATAAGTGCAACTCACTGCCCACGGGGGTCCTATGCCTGTGCTATAATAAAAGCACCTTCTTGTACCATAAAATGTCTCAAGAATTCTTTCTTAACCATTGCGCTCCACGGCCCCACATCAGTAACTGCTAGGAGGGAGGTAATAAGGGATATTTAGGAAACACAGACCAGGGGTACATTCTAGTGGAGTCGGGGAATGTATTACAGAGATGCTGAGCCTCAGGTTAAGAGCGAATTCATTAGCTCCATGATTGGCCCAGTGATCCCTGCAGCCGGCCAGTTGAGAAGCTGTGAGGGTTGAGCTTCGCTCAGATCACTCTCTTGCTCTCACTGGTTTGGGATGTGCCTGTCCATCACTGTAGCCACCTGCCTCATGGGGCTCTTCAGCATTTGAAATACAGCTAATCTGAACTGAGATATGTGGTAAATGTAAATTATATTGCAGATTTCAGAAATTAAGAATAAAAAAGAGTGTAAAAAAATCCCATTAATGTTTTTATATTACAGGTTGAAATGATACAATTTGGGATCCATTGAATTAAAAAGTCTGTTGTTGAAATTAATTTCACCTCTTATTTTTTTGTTAGTATTGCTCTAGAAAACTTAAGTTTAAATTATATTTAAATTAGCCGACGCTGGTCTAAGTCATTGGTTCACCTCCAGTGGGAATTCTAGCATGTTGGAGTTTTGATGTGACTTCTTTAGAGGTGGACTCTTGGCTCTGCTACAAACAGGTGATCTGGAGGCAGCCTTGCTCCACCACTCAGTAACGAGGGTAAGCTAGAGCAAGTGTAAGTAAGCTCTCTTAATGCCAGGACATTAATGCTTATGAATTGTGAGCATAAACACAATAATCCCTATAAACCAAAGGTTTTTGCTCCATATATAATACATTTAAGCTCTTAAAATGTTTAAACAGCTTTATTGAGGTGTCATTTACAAATAATAAACTCTTAATGAACATTATTAAGACTCAAATTTATTAAGTGCATCCTACTGCGAAGCCCTCTGTATGAATTCCCTCCTGTAATTTGTGGGGTTCTAGTTTTACCACCTTCCGCAAACCAGTTCACCTTTCCAGATCCCCATTTCCTCACCTCCGCACTGGGATGGTTGATCAATAAATGATTTCTAAGATAAATTCCAGCTTTGACGTTCGATGTTTCCTCTGAATTAAAAAAATATATATATTAGCTCATATTTGTAATATCCCGAAGATATATCTTCCAATGGTTTCTTTTCTTTCTTTTCTTTTCTTTTTTTTTTTTGTAGTCTCTTGTTCTTGTTTCTCCCTGGTTGTGTTTCTTCTTTAATCTCTCTGGAGATGTATAATGTTGGTTTGTTCTTAAATTTTTCTCCTACTACCTGTCCTTTCCTGTTTCCTCTGTGTTTCTTGTTCCTTTTCTCTGTTCAGTCTTTTGTGTTAGAGACTTTTCCCTTCCCATGTCTGGTCTTCCTAGCTTGCGCACTGATAGTCAAGAACGAGACACTAAATGCTGACTGGAACCTCTTTCGGGGCGGCGGCGGCGGGGGGGCTGTGAGGGGGGTTGTTGACTGAGCAGTGAGGGATAAGCCTATTTTGTTGAGGTACCTCAGTGTCAGAATCTAGAGGTCTTTATTTGGAGAGGCTGTTTTCCTGGAGAGGAAGTCTCCACATTCCTGCCTGATGGGTATCAGCCTGGCAATCCCAGTTCTGGAGGTTAACTGGGGAATCCTTCTTGCCAGGTCTCACCATTGCAGTGTGGTGCTTTGCCTCCAGTTGGAGTTCAGTTGAGTTGATTTGCTCTTTTTAGCCTCCCCTACTTCCAGCTGAGGTCTCAAGTCTCTCCAGAGCAGCGGCAGTAACGAGAGTACATACAATGGCTGTTGCTGATTAAACACCAATTCCATCAGGCATTGTCCTAAGTGATTAACAAGGAATGTGTCATTTCTTTCTCTCCACTCTGTGGGTAGGTACTATTATTTCCTCCAATTTCTTGTTGGGACATGGAGAGTGACTTGCTCAAGGTCACAAAGCCATGGATCTAGCACGTCCACCCAGAACCCAGGCTCAAAACCACTAGATCACTTGTCCCTCTGCTTTCTACTTCCCAAATACTACCCTCTCTTGTCCATTAATGGTACCTCTCCTGTTCTCCTTGTCTTTGAGGATTTGCACTTTATTTACTGCCTTTTTAGCAGGGTTTCAGGAAAGAGTGGAGACAAATGTGAAGGTTTCATTCACCATATATAACCAGAGATGGACATCCCTTTTTGGATATAGGTGGCTATCACAACTGGTTACAGTGACTGATGGATGGCCCCCGTGAGACTACGGCCAATCCCACTGTCCCAGCTTCTGCTTCTGATCCCAATTAGACTTTGTAGCCACAGAAGCCCCAGGGAGCCCTAGTTCATATATTTATTGGCATCATGGTCAAGTTACCTAGAGCTGTAGCCAATAGCATCCACTACTGGGGAAATGACTGGCTAGGTTGTAAGATTCAGAGCATAAGACCATCAGCTAAAGGAGACAGAACTAGAAGCATTTCACTGTAGGAGTGAAAAAATCTCACAAAAATATTTGAGACCAGAACAATTAACATCAAAAGATAAATAGTGGATTTTGTTGGGTGAGGTGACTACAGGTAATTCACATTTTTTCTTTGTGCTCATATGTTTTCCAGATTTTTTTATACTGCATGTGTTATTTAACAAGAAATGGTTAAGATATTTAAAAACATTCACCCTTTGATTCAACATTTCTACTTCTTAGAAACATCCTAAGGAAATGGTTAAGGATGTGTGTTAAGATTTAGCCACAGGAATGTTGATTCCAGAGACATTTATACCAGCACTAAGTTAAAAAAACAGAAATGTCTAAAGAGGAGATTAAGGTTGGACTATATAGCCAGTAAGAATATATATTGAGCGACGCCTGGGTGCCGCTTAACACTGGTTAAGTGTCCGACTCTTAGCTCAGGTCTTGATCTCAGGGTCATGAGTTCAAGCCACACATTGGGCTCCATGCTGGGTGTGGAGCCTACTTAAAAAAAATAAAATATATATTGAAGTGATGTATGTGGTATTATTATGTAAAGAAACAAGCCTACAAAGCATTGTGTAATATAATTCCAGCTTTTTATTGAAGTATAATTAACATACAATGATATATTAGTTTCAGGAGTACAACATATTGATTCAACAGTTCTATACTCAGTGCTCATCATGGTAAGTGTAGTCACCATCTGTCACCATATGATGTTATTATATTACTGACTATATTCCCTATGCTGTACTTTTCATCTCCATGAGTTATTTATAACTGGAAGTTTATACCTCTTAACCCCCTTCGTGTATTTTTCCCATTCCCCCCATCCACCTCCCCACTGACAATCATCAGTTTGTTCTCTATATTTTTTTTTTTTTAAGATTTTATTTATTCATTTGACAGAGAGCGGGAGAGAGAGCAAGAGAGATCACAAGCAGGGGAAGCAGCAGAGGGAGAAAGCAGGCTCCCCACTGAGCAGGGAGCCCGATGCAGGGCTCGATCCCAGGACCCCAGGATCATGACCTGAGCTGAAGGCAGACGTTTAACCGACTGAGCCCCTCAGGTGCCCCTGTTTTCTGTATTTAAGAGTCCCTTGGTTGGTTGATTGGTTGGTTGGTTGGTTTTTTGTTGTTCATTTGTTTTGTTTTTTAGATTCCAAATATGAGTGAAATCACCTGGTATTTTTCTTTCTCTGTCTGACTTATTTCGCTTAGCATAATACCCTCATGTTTATCCATGTTGTTCCAAATGACAAGACCCATTCTTTTTTGTGGCTGAGTAATATTCCATCATAGGTATATACCATTTCTTCCTTATCCATTCATCTATTGACAGACATGGGTTGCTTCCATATCTTATCTATCGAAAATAATGCTGCAATAAACCTAGAGGTGCATATATCTTTTCTAATTAGTGTCTTTGTTTTCTTGGGGTAAATACCCAGGGGTGAAATCATTGGGTCATATGGTATTTCTATTTTTAATTTTTTGAGAAACCTCCATGCTGTTTTCCACAGTGACAGCATCAATTTATATTCCCACAAACAGTGCACAAGGGTTCCTTTTTTCCCACATCCTCGCCAACACTTGTTGTTTTTTGTCTTTTTGATTCTAGCCATTCTGACAGATATGAGGTGGTATCTCATGGTAGTTTTGATTTCCATTTCCCTGATGATGAGTGATGTTGAGCGTCTTTTCTATGTCTGTTGGCCATCCATATGTCTTCTTCGGAAAAATGTCTATTCAGGTCCTCTGCCCATTGTCTAATAGGATTATTTGCTTTTTTGGTTTTGAGTTGTAGAATTTCTTTATATATCTTGGATATGAACCTCTTATCGGATATATCATTTGCATATCACTTCTCCCACTCAGTGGGTTGCCTTTTTGTTTTGTTGATGGATTCCTTTGCTATGCAAAAGCTTTTTAGTTTGATGTAGTTTTAATAGTTTATTTTTGATTTTGGTCCCCTTGCCTGAAGAGACATATCTAGAAAAATATTGCTAAGGCAGATGTCAAAGAAATTACTGCCTGTTTTCTTCTAGGATTTTTATGGCTTCATGTCTCACATTGAGGTCTTTAATGCATTTGAGTTTATTTTTGTGTGTGCTGTGAAAAAGTGGTCCAGGTTCATTCTTTTGCATGTAGCTGTCCAGGTTTCCCAGCACCATTTATTCAAAAGACCGTCTTTTCCCCATTGTGTATTCTTGCCTCCTTTCTCGAGATTCATTGACCATAAAGCATTTTTGTGTGTGGGGGGGCTCTCTATTCTGTTTCACTGGTCTATGTGTCCGCTTTTGTGCTGGTACAATATTTTGTGGTCACTACAGCTTTGTAGTATATCTTGAAATCTGGAGTTGTGAAACTTTCAGCTTTGTTCTCTTTTCTCAAGATCGCTTTTGCTATTTGGGTTTTTTTGTGGTTCCATGTGAATTTTAGGACTATTTGCTTTGGTTCTGTGAAAAATGCTGTTGGTATTTTGATCAGGATTGCATTGAATCTGTAGATTGCTTTGGGTGGCATGGACATTT